AATTTTTGGGTCATTAAATTCTTCTATATCCACTTAACAGAGGGGCTTTTTTATTTTTTTGTACCAATATATGATTTTTTGAAGTTATAGGTATTTAGTTAAATAAAAAATATCCTAATTTCCTACTTAACCACGTTAGCGTCACGACATCCTCGACGTCTCTGAAAGACCCTGCAATGCACTCCCACTAACTACACTTTCCGCGTAAACGCTGACTCAACCCGTGTAACATGTGTTGAGTCAAACCGTTCGTTTCAAATACATGTGAATGGACGACATCTGCTCATCATCCCAAATGAACCATAACCCGTAAACTGTTTGCATTCTAATGTTATGGTCTCTCTCGATACTTAACTAAATCGCATGGGGTTTGTTTCCACACCTTTATCTAAGTGAGGCGAACACATTTATACGGCTAGGTGGACATGGATTGTTCATTCTCTTCATAAACAACCAAACCTAGGCCAAAATAGGAGTTTTCGAGCTATACCTTTTGCCCAAGTGAGGCATCGATTGGATGGGTTGAGAAGCTTCGCCTTGGTCCCACGAACCTTCGTCAACTGTTGATTTGTTCTGTGGCTAGGTCTAAGTATAAACTAAACCAAATTGTGGATTGAGCTTGGTCTTGAGCTATGTTAGAGGCTTCGGGGGAGGGGGATTTTGATTGGGGAAGTAGTTTTATGCTATGAGGAAGCTTTTGGAAATTTCCATTTGAAGTTTTGGGGGTTTTGGTGAAATGGTCAAAAATGTCCCGGTTTTTTGCTTTAAAATTAGGGTTTTGTGATGGGAGGCAGTGGCTGAGAATGTTATAGATGAACTTCGTATAGGTTAAGGAAGGGTTTGGAGCAATTTTGGCAGGGTTTCTCTAAGGTTGGTAAACTTCTTTCATTTGGCCGTGAAAGGTGGTGGTTTTATAGGCTGAGCAAGGAGCTTCAATTGGCCAAGCCAGAGGGTAGAAGGTGGCGTTGAGGTGGAGAGAAGACAAGGCAAGTGTCAATTGGAGTGAGCTACATTGGATGAGTGGAATTTAGAGTTTTGACCACAATAGTGCTCCTCGACCTTGGATTTTCTGGCAATTAGGGTGGTCGTCCAGACCATAGGAGGTCACCATCTGATTGTGGGAAGTCGGCGGTGGGGTTTGAAGCCAATTGTGTTCAAGCATGGGTAAGGGTGTTAGATCAAAAAGGAAAGGAATTTGGGTTAACTTGGGTTTAGGCTCTTGGAAATGGATTTGAGTGGCCTCCAAGGTGGATAGGGTTGATAGTCAACATGTGGGTTTAGATGGTCAAGTCTCTATCCAAGAGGTTAGGGTTAAGAGAATCATTGAAGTGGTTAAGTGCTTTAAGTGGAATCAAAGAAGACCCCCCTCCTTTTTTTCACTTAGGGGAGGGTGACATGGCATAGCTCACATGGCTAATATGTGGCATGGAGAAAGCTTCATGGCTTGCATGTAGCTTGACCAACTTTCATGGGGGAGGTATTTAGGAATTTGGAGCATTTTGTGAGGTGCCATCATGAAGCCAAATGTCAGAGAGTTTAATCATGCATGTGTCGGTCGCCAATTAGAATTTTGTCAGTTGTTTTGAAAATAATTTAATTTAATATATAGGTATATAATTTTAATTTGAAAAATAGTATTTTAATCTTGAAAAATGTGACTGAATGGATCTCATATATTTAATAATTTATGTAATCGAGCATGACACCACAAGTACCCGAGAGATATGCATATTACTTGACGACGAGCTCGATTATATAAACTAAAGAATTTGACATTTTTTTGGTAAACCTTTTGTGTGGCTGACAATTCACCTATCTGATATAAGATTAGATATAGTTTAGATTATCTAAGTTACTAATTCACTATAAGGGTAAGCCTCTATAGTTAATTACACCTTAAGCAACCGAAGTCACTTAAGAAAACTCTTGATTAAAATCAAGGGTTTTTCTTCAAGGAGTTCAATGTTTAGTTTTCAAGATTGGACATAGAAAAGTCAAATGGGAATGACTCAATATGGAATAATTATTTTTGGAATCCAAAGGAACAGGAAGTAGGGGATGTCATAGATTCTTAGAAGAACCTCGATAGCTTTTCAAACTATCATATTGTTTGGTTTTATATTTTTGAAAAAAATGTTTATTTGATATTTTAATCCTGCAACTTATTTAGTATTAAGGGCTTACATTTTCATAATATCCGATCATGCAAATAGTCTAAAAAGATAGGAGGATTTACGTCTTATCGAACATACAACCTCAGAATCCTAAAGAATTAAGGCTTATATTGCACGAAGTACAACCGTGTGAAGGCTTAAGGAGTGGTGCGAGGATTTATGTCATGTCGGACGAACTACCTTAAAGTCATATGTGTTTGTGTTATTTAGAACTACTAAAAGTTTTGCTGTAGTGGATGTGATTCATTATGGAGTCTTGATCATCATTTGAAGTCGTCCTCCGTATACTTCCAACTTGCTTTGAGCTTCTTGACATAATGATTTCAGTTTTAGGGTCTAATGTTTTGAACATGATTATTCTTGAGTCTCGAGGCCCATTGTAGTGTTCCTCCTAAGCATGTGACCTATTGTTATCTATCCTAGAGGTTTTTTACAGGTATTGTAAACAATAGAAAAGTAAAGTTGGATGTATAAATGAGACATGTATAGTAAAGCGCAGTAATAATAATATGGAGTGCACCAAAAAATTCATGGTCTAGCAAATACAGATATTGAAGGATCTGATGATGGAGGTCACCCGAGGCGCCCTGACCTTGGAAGAAGATTAGCAGCTCTGGGATGAAGGGGCATCTAAATGCAAAGTGTTTGCCTAGCCTTGGAAAGGGAGGCGACTCCCAATACCTTAATAGTGTTGGGTCAAGACCAATCAAGCAACATCAGTTCATATGTAATAAGGTGCCATGTCAGTCCAAGAATTCATTTGACCTGTTGTACACGCCGAGAGCTTTCATCAAAGCTTAGAAGATAGGTAATTTTATGGTTGAATTTTTTGAGTCTAGTGAACCTAAAGATAAAGGAACAAGCACAACCAAACTTGGATGCTAAACATCGATGGAGCAGCCAATCACATTAGGGCGGGGCTCAGTCTCACCTTAACTAGTCGCACCAAAGATTATTTTTATAATTTAGCAGAGGTGGAGTTTGAGGTTATCAACAATCAGGCTAAGTGTGAAGCTCTGATAGATGGTCTACGGTTTGCATATGCAATGGGCATGCGACACCTACTTGTAAGATCCGACTCATTGTTGGTGGTCAAAAAGGTGGAAGGGCATTTTAAAATCTGGGAAGACATGATGACACACTATCTCAACTAAGCTAAAGTGAAGATATGAAAATTCAAGTTCTTCAGGATCAAGTAAATCTCTCGTGAAGACAACCATGTATTTATTTTTTTTTTCATGCTTTGAAAATAGGGATTGTACATAGGGATCAAGTTAATCTCTCGTGAAGACAACCATGTATTTATTTTTATTTTTTTTCATGCTTTGAAAATAGGGATTGTACATATCTTAAATATTTAACGATTTAAATAATCAAACACAATATCAAAAGTAATGTACTATTTTGAATGATAAAAATACAACTTTTATGATGAGTTCAATTATTTAAATGAAGAAATTTTTTATATTTATATGGTTTACATTATACTAACAGATTTTTCTCCAATCTAATTCGAAGACTAGATAAGATTTAGATCTAGTTTGCTAACCTTCTATAAGGGCAAAACTCTCCCCTTCTATAAGGGCAAGTTTGATAGTTAATAACATCTTAAGAAATGAATTTTCTTACAAAATTTCTCAATTATGGCTGTAATTTTATCTTCAAGTATTTCTAAGTTTAGTTTCCATGATTGATTAATGAGAATATCAAATAGAAAAGCTTAAAAATGAAAAAATTATTCACAGAACCCAAAGAAGGAAATGTAGAAGATTTTGGAGATACTGAGAGACTCGGTGACATATCAAATATTCTATTATTTTACATTATTGATTTTAAAGAAGATTTATTTAATATTTATATTGACATTTTATTGGTGATTTAGGAATTATATCACAAGATATATGATCGTGAGAAAGCTTATAAGGTGAGAATTTACGTCATAAGTAGACTAACAATCTTGGAATTCTAAGACTAAAGTGAGGTTTACCGAAAGAAGCAAGACTTTGGAATCTTGTCTAAAGGAAGAAAATGTAGCAAACAAATGAAAGAATATACTTACCATCATGCCTAGAAATGTTGTCATCTAAACCACCTAATAAAAAAAAAGCATACATGGTTGGTCTCCTGAATGCAAGGTATGATAAGCTGTTATTTATTAGGAAAAATGGGTCTTACAACTTGATTATAAAAATCAAGATGCTTAAATAGGACTAATACACAAAATGTCTAAAGAATAATGCAAATTTATTTTAACAAATAAATTTTAAAATTTCATAGCTCACTACACTCGAGGGTTTTATTGTTTTTATTAATTCTCAGTGTCAAGTGAATAAAGAGAGCAATGTATATGTATGCATATCCTTGATGATGAATGCTTGGAAGATTTATTCATAAGCCCATTCGGTATGTAGATGCATTAGAGATTTATTCATAAGCCCATTCGGTATGTAGATGCAGACTCAAGGATTTTTTGGGCCCGCTGCAGCTTATTGACATTCTGCTGATAAGTTGTTGATCCAGATAAGTTAGTTGGCTGCTTGATTTGTGCTGTTGAAAAACAGTTAATTTGCAGCTAATTATGGATAAATGATCATTCTGCTTATGTGCAACAATGTTATTTGCAACAAAACTATCATAATAGTATATTTTATACTTGAGAAGTAAAAAACTACTTTATCACAGTAGAAAAAATAAGATACACACCTCATATAACAGTAAGTACCAAGTGTACTAAAAAAGAAAAGAAGTAATAAAACTACATTAAAAAATATGATAATATTAATTTTAAAATCCAGAAGACATAAGTCCCGAGCTACGCCGTGCTCCATGGATGCCATTCAACTTCGATCACTATCAGTAATGGAATCTGCCAGACTGTTTACCCATCAGAAGAAGTCACACTTCTCCGGACCGTTTGCCTACTGCAGACACTCGTAGAACTTTCTCTTGTAGTTATGTGCCCGACGTGACAACACTAGAGAAGTTTGTAGTCCGTAATGGCAGAACACTGGTCGTGAGGTCCCTAAAATCTTGGAGCTCATCTTTTGTGAATGATTAAAAAAGATCATCCATTAGTCATAATAGGAGTTGAAATTGCTGAAAGAAGTAACAAATTACATTTTTTTGCAGTTGTGAGGTCATACAGAATTCATTATACTAACCAACAAATCTGTCGCTACAAGAAGATAATAGACCCTGTAGAGAAATGAGTTTTTGGTTGCATTTAACCACGTAAAACCAGCCTCATGTGTGTCACATGTGCATATCACCAAAAAAGGTCATTTAGAGGAACCTCATAAACTAATGCACCAAAAAGAAGAGAGGAACTTGGTTGCCTTTATTAGGATTTCATATGTAACACTAAATAACAATGACCAACATGCCATCCAGAAGAACTCACAAGGTCAAAATTCTCATCATGAACCTCACAAGCCCACAAAAAGAAAACAAATTAAATTCCAATGGAAAATAAACAATGTCAAACATGTAAACATTTCAAAACAAAAAATATCCATATTACAAGTGATTAAATAAACATAGAGTTTATAAAATAAATAAGAGACTGTCGGCACTATTTTGGTTGAGGGAGTTGCCCGTAAGAAGCTTTCGGTCACCGGAATCAAAATCTCATCGCCCGTTTCGGAATGATGTTCAAGTTTAGAAAAGTATGAAATCAAACTGACCTCATATTTTTCATAGTTTAAATGAAAGAGCGCTATACCTCAAACTCTATATCTATCCTGAAGGATAAACACAATACTTGAGGATGATGCTCGATCAAATAAACTAAGAAATGTATGACTTCCATTTGGTCTGCAAAACCATTTTATTTGCCGACAATTTCCCCTATTTAATATGAAGAATTAAATAGGGTTTATATTAAGCTGAGTTCAAGAAAAACTTCATATATGGTCAAGCCCCTATAGTTAGTTACATCTTAAATGACCGAAGTTATCTAAGAAAACTCTCGATAAAAATCAAGAAATATTATCTTCAAGGAATTCAAAGGAAATGACTTTTCAATGAAATCAGACAAAGATGTGTGAAAGGGGAATGGTTCAAATTTGGGACATTTATTATGGAATCCAAAGGAGGAAGGACTAGGGGATGACAGATCCGGAGGAGAACCTCGAAGCCTTCCCAGGCTATGCTATTTTTTGGCTTCAATTTTGAGGAAAAAATTTTAAGTGTTTCATCCTGCCAATTTTATTAATTTAGGGCTTACATTTGTGTGAAGCAATCACACAAATAGCCTGGAAGATGTAAGGATTTAGAAGGATTTAGATGTGAGGATTTAAGTCGTGATGAGCGACAACCTCGGACTCCTAAAACGAGTTAGGGCTTATATTGTACAACAGGGCTTAGATTGTACAGCTAAGCTATACAAATGCCTAAATATGAGATGAGGATTTATGTTGCACCAGACAAACAACCTCGAAGTCCTATGACTTTGTTGTTTAATTCTAAGGAAAGAAGTTGGTTTAGCTGATGTAGATAGATTTTGCTGTTGAAGATGGTTGTGCTGCCCACCATGCTAGCTCCAAGCTCCTTGTCGTAGCGAATTCAAAGTTTCTAATGTGTCAAGTTTTGACGTCAAATTAAAATTTTCCTATGATTATGGTTATTTAAATTTTATGAGGGATATTAAAGTTCATTAGAGCAACACCTGTTAGGATCTTACGGCTCCCTCATTCCGGCACCACTATTTTCTTTCAGATTCACTTAGTCCAAATGAATTTACTAAACTCAACTTAATGAGTTCCATACTTTCATTTAGACAATGGGAAATCTCATTTGCAACCATTGGTTACCTCCTCCGAGGGATTCCCGATCATCCGATAAAGACAACTTAATTTAGTTGCAATTTATGTTAATGTGTGTGATTAAATTTTGAGTTATTTTTATATTTTGAATATTGTGATCCCACGGTGAATTTTATCTTGGTTGATTTTAACTTTGGTTTTGGTTTTGGTTTTGTGGCTAATCTCATGTGGCTATCCTAATAGTTTTAGTTTTCATGTAGGGTGATATCGTTATTTAGCATGAGATTTTTGCAAGATATAAAAGTACAAGAAAGACATCACTGTAAACTATAAAAAGCGTACCTGGCGAGTCTTCTCGTTCTTTCACCTGAAACTTAAAATGCATGTTAAAGCAGTTCATGTAGAGGCAGAAAAGTAATGTTTTAGTAGTTTTTCTAACCCTATGTCATATCTTGGTGGGTCCTTAGGAGTTTAATTAAGGATGATTTTGTTAAGCAAAACATATTAAGTTTAGTAGACCTCTGAGGTATCCAACATGTTAGAAGGAAGAAGCAAGTTCATGCTTCCCTCTTATCACCTAGTGAAAAGCCTCGAGTTCATTTAAACTTATTATGTTGCTTAATAATTCACCCTATGAACACCCTAATGCTCAATGGACATTGATGTCCTAACTATCTCTAAGAGTAGGGTAATTATCATTTGTAATTTAATTTTGAAGATTATGTGAATGAAGACCCTTAAAGGGGGCA